AGAGGAAGCAGAGTGTCTCCCAGGACAGGAAGCAGAGTGTCTCCCAGTAGAGGAAGCAGAGTGTCTCCCAGGACAGGAAGCAGAGTGTCTCCCAGTAGAGGAAGCAGAGTGTCTCCCAGGACAGGAAGCAGAGTGTCTCCCAGGACAGGAAGCAGAGTGTCTTCAGGAGCGATGACTCTGAGCTCCATGGGGGCTTGCTGCCTCAGCCCGGAGGCCGGAGAAGCTCGCCGGATCAACGATGAGATCGAGAAGCAGCTCCGCCGCGAGATGAGGGACTCCAGACGGGAATACAAGCTGCTGCTGCTCGGTGAGGGACGAAGAAATACTCCTACTGCACAAAATACTGCATTCAAAATGTTTAAAGTATTAGCAAGTAAATGTACTTACAGACAAACTCACATCACTACATATTTTATACGAGGACTATTATTACTGATGCATCTACATGTTGATGTTGTTGCTCTTCTTAAATATTTCATTTTCTGTTTTTATATCATTGCATTCATTTATTAAATGATTGTTTTTTATGTACAATCTTAATCTGTAATATAGGAACTATAGCTGTTAAATAATAATAATAATAATAATAAATAACTATTTTTAAAACACTTTTCATACAAGATATGAAGCTCAAAAAAATTAATATATGTAATGTAAATAGACAATAAAAAGGAGTGGATGCTGAAATATTTGAGTTAAATTGAAAACAGAGACTATTAAGAATAATAAAAATGAGATAAATAAGTAGATTTAGACTAATTAATGTTCCAATAATACACTGTGTATATGATTAATATAACTGTATTTTGCATAACGTGTACTTCTGATGGTCTAAGTACATTACTTTCTGCAGATACTTGTGTACTTTTACTTAAGTAGGATTTTGAATTCAGGACTTTTACTTGTAATTGAGTATTTTTATGCAAAAAAACAACGAGACAGATGTTCCATCTTTTTAAAATGTTTCTCTGTGACTCTCAAAGCGTTTGTTAACTTCTCTCACAGACGTTTTCCAGCCACTGTTCCTGTTTACGTTGAACCATTGTCTGCTAACAGCTAACAGCTAACAGCCGACCCACTCAGACCAAGCAGAACTTAAGTCAAGTAGATATCTTCTCTCCTCACATCTTTAACGTTTCATTGGGCAGCTACATCCTAAAAGCAGGTTTAACGACTGTTTATGACGTCTTTGAACAGACAACGTATGCGAGTGGTCGTCCTCCTGCCTCCAACTGTTCTGTTGTGCAGTAAAGTTGCCAGATTTTAACTTTAGGTGTTAATGAGAAAGCATAGTTCTTTCTCTGTTATTTGAATCTCTGCTTCTCATTTTGCAGCTTCTGGCTCCTTAAATACATTCAGCTTGGTCGGGTTCTTCTCGTTCAGCCTTTTACCGGCAGACACCGTTAACGTGACACAATGCTGCTGGTAGAACTTGACTCCAAGTGTAAACATTAGACCGACAAGACGAAACCCAGACGATGATTATAAATGTACCGCGAGTGCAAGACTGCAGAACAGTGAAGACGCTGAAGAACTCGATGTAGCTACTCTCTCTACAACACATTGGTGTGTTAGTGAGCAGTGATGTTGTGCATCTGTTGGGGGCTATAGGAACTGGTGAAAGTGGGAAGAGCACTTTCATCAAGCAGATGAGGATCATCCACGGCCGCGGGTACTCCGACGAGGACAAGAGAGGCTTCGCCAGGCTGATCTACCAGAACATCTTCACGGCCACGCAGGCCTTGATCCAGGCCATGGACGCACTGCAGATCTCCTACAAGTACGAACACAACAAGGTAGACCGCGCTGTTATGTCTTTCTCTGCTGACCACACACTGTTCAGCAGGAGAGTGTGTTCATGCTTCACGGTCTAACTCGCTGACAGAGCCTGCAGTGTGTTTCAGGGTGAAGTTCTTCTGGTAATTTACCGCCATGTTTACCTTTGAGATCCTCGCTGCCGGAGAGTTTTGTCTGCTTATGTTGAAGGCTGACGTTTGGGAAGTGCACATGATGTTTGACTGCAGGAATGTAAAGACGGGTTAGTCCTGAGTCAGTTAAAACTCAGAGACCAAGCAGGAAAGGGAGACAGAGAACTCCTGTTAATCACACAGGAACCCGTCCCCGTGAACACAAACAAATACCAGGATGTCCTACTGCACCCAGTCCCATTCTGCAGTCTTCAAACCAGCATGGGAAGCCCAGCATACGTCACATCGACTGAGCTGTCGAGAGAGCACCGACAGCCTGATGACTACTCATTGACCGCTCAATAAAAGAGGACAGTGGAACACATCCTGTCAGATCCAGATGAAGGCTACATGCAGCTTTCAGACCACGTCCTTCACTGTACAATGTCAGACTAATTGCCTACAATCTAGAGTTAAATATAACAACACAGACACATTTCTACAAGATGTGCTGTTTGTATTTTAACAGGAAGTGACTCATGTCTGGTTTTAGGACTCAACATGGGGTAGTGTTGCACTTCAGCCTCTTGTGGCCGGAATGAGTATTACAACAACATACACTTCTCTGTTCATATGGCAACACTTTTCTCCTAACTTGTTTCACAGATTACATTTTTATTAAAGGAAATTAGAAAGATTATCCTGCAAAACCTTGGTTTTCTCACACAAAAAAACTAATTCGTACTTTCCTCTCAGGGTTTCCGTACATTCATCATCTGTCGTGGGATTTAATAAACCCAGTGACATCAACACGTCCCTGATCTTTAACAACACTACAAGAACACAACCATGACGTCATAAATCCATCTGTATATCTGTCGTTCTGTCGTTCAGGCAAACGCCAGCATTGTCGGCGGCGTCGATGTGGTGAGGGTGACCACGTTAACGAGCCCTTACGTGGAGGCCATCCAGAGCCTGTGGACCGACCCGGGGATTCAGGAATGTTACAGTCTGAAGAGGAAATACCAGCTGTCAGACTCCGCTAAATAGTGAGTGTAAACAGAAGCTATGACTCCTCAGACAGTCAAATATAATCAAATGCTTCATCTGCCTGCTGTCTGTTTAATGCACTCAGAAGGCTCAGTGTTACTCCATTTAAGGTTGTTGACTAAAGTTTAAATTGTCCCTGATAGTGAAGAGTCTCCTCTGTCCTCACTCTGACCGGTTTGCATCTTCTTAACTCCGTCCTCCTGTTTCAACAGCTTCCTGAATGACATACACCGAATTTCTGATGCTTCTTATCTGCCAACCCAGCAGGATGTCCTGCGGGTCAGGGTGCCCACCACGGGGATCCTAGAGTACCCCTTTGACCTGGAGAACGTGGGCTTCAGGCGAGTGTTTCAGGTCGTCGTTAGGTTTTATGTAGCAGATTTACATTTGGGTAAAATGTCTCAGGTGTAGCATTAAAGCATGGTGGGATTAGCGAGTGAGCTAACTAGCGGAAAGCTGTTTTAGCAATAAGTCAATTTCCTGTTGATATTGTGATACGAGACTAGATATCATTATAATCTTTGGTTATTGTAAATGTGTGAGACCCTCATAGTCTGAAGTCATGTCTACGCTCATCATATTCAATGATCCATTTAATAAACACAGCCTGGCCCTAAATACCAGGAATAATACTGTAAAGTGTTAATATGAAGATGTGTTTGAATCTGTGGCTGCAGGATGGTGGATGTGGGCGGCCAGCGCTCGGAGAGGAGAAAGTGGATTCATTGTTTTGAGGCGGTCACTTCGATTATGTTCCTGGTGGCGATCAGCGAGTACGACCAGGTCCTCGTCGAGTCCGCCAAGGAGGTGAGACGCCGACGAAATAACAAACTACAAGCTGATCTCCTCCGATAAAGGCCGTTGTGTCATTTCAAGCCAAAACTGTTTAGGTGGAGATGACGACCTAGATTCCTACAGAGTGGAGCACTCGTCTGGTTTCTCTTCCTGGACACTGATGAACCTTTGAAGCAGTGCGCATAGTTCACCTGCAGAGGGAGCTCTTTAGTCACTCTGCTCAACAAAGTGAACCTCTCACACAGACAATCACTGCTGAAGTCCTGCTGTCTAACACCATGTGTGATTCCATATCTCTGCTCATGCTCAGACGTTTGTGTTTCTCAAAGAACCGCATGGAGGAAAGCATGGCTTTGTTCCAGACCATCATAACCTCCGGGTGGTTCCACCTGTCCTCAGTCATGCTGTTCCTCAACAAGATAGATTTACTGGAGGAGAAAATCCTGCACTCGCATCTGGTCGACTACTTTCCTGAATACGATGGTGAGAGGAAACGAAACATGCAGCTGAGCATGCTGGGACTTCTGTTTTGAGTATCTTATAGTCGTCTAATTAAACACCTCTGTCTGTTGTTGGTTCACTTAGAATTGATGCGTCTATAAGGGACACTATGTATTATTTTTTAAGAAGAAAAGTTTAATATATCAGCAATAAAACACAACCTGGTTTGAGTACATCAGCCACCAGCTACCGGTCACATACATCCAGTACAGCTGCTGCAGCACGCACTGAATTGATCCACGGTGTGTTTAAAGGTCTTTCTTGTGACTTTTGAAAGAGGACATCATGTTATATTGCAGTGTGAGCCCGTCTGATATTCTTGAGGTACCGCAGTGTCTTTAATGTGCCGTCTCTGCCCCTCGTCTCCTTCCACCAGGTCCCCAGAGGGACGTCAAAGCAGCACAACAGTTCATCTTGGATAAGTTCGTCAGTCTCAACCCCAACGAGAAAAGAATCATCTACTCCCACTTCACCTGTGCCACAGACACAAACGACATTCGCTTCGTCTTCAGAGCGGTGAGGGACCACATCCTGTGCAGCTACCTGATGGACTACAGATTTGCTTAAAGAAAGACGGTGCTGCTGCTGTAGGCCATCGGCGGTGAACCTCACGCAGGAAATTGAGAAGCTTTTGATCAAAGGAGACTTTGAAGATGGATCGAGCTGTGATGAAGTGTCCTGATGAATATAACTGCCTCAGTGAGGAGTCAGAGAGAGATATCAGGAGGAGAATGCACATTGAACTGATTGCCGTGGTCATTTACAACAGGTAATGGCTACCGTTAATAGTTGACAGCACACGTCAGTGGGGCCATTAAGTGCTTCACTCCGCCGATAAGGGACTTCTGTAGGTCTCACAGACTACACAGCACGTCACCTTTATTACACAGAAACCCCACTTTATTACTCGGCACGCCCACCTCACTACATGTGTAACCTACTTTACTACCTAATAACACACTTTACAGCACCCCTACTTTACTGCATTTCACTCACTTTACTGCACCCTGTGAGAGAACTTCCAGGATTAACAGGAACTTTACGAGTATGCAAAATAAAAGTGGGTGGAGCACAGTGTAGATAAAAAAAAAAAAAACACAATCACGGAGCACCCTGTACTAATATCATATAATGTCATTACATAGTAAATGGAGCTTTGAGATCAGACTTGAGACATCGTGAATCAAAGATCCACAGATCTATGAAAGAAAATCTGTTCTTGAATAAAAAGCATTTCCCTAAAAGGTTTGGTGTGATTTAAACATGTTTTAATGGTTACCTACACAACCAACACATATCTAAAGAGTCGACTGTTCTGGTCGGATACACATCTCCAGAGTCTCTGTACAGCCTCTTCAGTGATGAGAGTTTCATGTTGAATTCTTCTGTCGGCTAATATAAGGTTTTATATTCACGGTTATATAAACTCATGCGTTGTGAGAGGATTGCATCTTTGACATTACTAACATCAGACAGGAGTCAACATGAAACTCAACTCTAGTCGTTTGTAAATGTGGTTTATTCTGTTAAAAGTCGAACACAAATCATTTCAGTGCAAATATTCTAAATACCTCGAGTACATTTGTTCTACATCACAAAACACTGTTGAATCACATTGTGTTTGAGACTCTTTATATTCAGTGTTTAAATAGTATAGTGAGGAAACAACAGTCAGGGTGAGCTAGAGTCAGTCATCAGTCTAACATGTCATCCTCAGAGACAACACGTTCTAACACCATCACCTGTCTGAGCAGGTGAGGAAATAAACATTAAAAACATATCCCACATCCTTCACGCTGCACCAGCTATTCAGGGATTTATTAAATCAGGTTGCACCTTTAAAACATCTCAGCTCGGGTTAGGGTTCAGTTACCAGGAGGTGCAGGACATGACAAGTTAGCATAACATCCAGAAATCACAATTTCAGAGGCTTAAAACAAGATATAGATCTATACACGTTTGAGATTCTTATATTCAGTGCTCAAATAGATAAATAGCATCGTGAGGTAAAGGTGCCCTGCTCAAAGGCACTTTCAGGAAGTAGAGCGTTTAGTCTTCAAAAAACTGCAGTTTGAATTCTGCATTTTAAATACGTTTCACACGTCGTCATTATATATTTACTGTACACATTTCCAAAACGCATGTCTGCATACATGGAGACATGCAGCCTTGTGTTTCAGCGTTCGTATTAAATGAGGGATCGTCAGATTATGCTAAGCTAACTGACGTTATTTACTCGTTTAGTGGAACACTAACGGCATTACTTCATGTATCAGGAGGTCTGTTGTGTTACTCTTGTGAACAGTAACCTTTAACACTTACATCATTATTAATAAACATACAGTCAGACACAGTAATCCCTCTGACCTCAGTGCACTGATCATCACGCTAACGCTACACAGCGCAGGCTTTGGGTGTAAATGAGTTCCAGCGTGTTTTCATTCAGAGAGTAAAAGCTTAACGAGGTAAAGTCTGAACTTACTCCTCATCACAGCGCCGTATAAAACAATATGGAGGAGGTCACCAACACACCTGAATGTGTCGTCTACGACAGCAACAAGCCCAGAACAACACCTCGTATTCCCTCACAGTGAGAGCTGGCTCTGAGGTGAAACTATGACGCCAACAGTGGCGCTTCCATCAAGTTCGGCTTCTTTCTTCGTCTCCTGGAGGTGAAAAGTGATCGTGCTGCTGAACCGCGTGTCCACAGCTTAAAGAGGGTTTCCATCTCCGGCACAGGTCCTCTCCAGGATTTACTTCTTGATCCGGATCAATCGTGAAGACCTCACCGATCCGGATCAATCGTGAAGACCTCACCGATCCGGATCCATCGTGAAGACCTCACCGATCCGGATCCATCGTGAAGACCTCACCGATCCGGATCCATCGTGAAGACCTCACCGATCCAGTCGGGTCCACTTGAGGCTGGAGTGCTGCTCTGCATTAACTACCAACGTGCCTTTGAGCAAGGCGCCTCAGACCGTGAGTGGTTTGGTTGAAGCGACGTCATCATTCGGATGCTGTGGGAATAATTAACGTACATTTTAATTATGAACAATAATAATATAAACTGTCTTAGTCAGTCAGGATTTACTCAAGAAGAAACAGAATGTTTTTGTTTTCTTACATTTTGTTTTTGACGTAGTTGAAGGAAACGAGCACCGACTCCACCAGCCAGGGTCAGTGAGACGAAGACGACCAACGGGATCAGAAGGTTTAGATGAAGCCGACCACCTGATGGTGAAACAAAGGACTCTAAATGAACATCATGCTGTATTGAAGAAGACTTGAAACTAGAGATTGAGACCATAAACTCATGTTTACAATGTTTACTGAGGTAATAAATCAAGAGAGAAGTAGAGTCATTTTCTCATAGACTTCTATACAACCAGAGGAGTCGCCCCCTGGTGGACACTAGAGAGAATGCAGCTTTAACACATGAAGCTTTGACTTCACTTTAAATAACTAGAGGTTGAAGTCTGGGTACCATCTAGACTTTATTAACGCTGAAGATTCTTGTTTCTCTCCTCAAAGGTTTTCTCACCTGCGTCGGTCTGATCTGGATCTGGGAGACGTTTGGTATAAAACTCCGGCTCCGTCGTCGAGGTTTTATCAGATTGTGGTGCTGAAAAAACACAAGATTAAAGAAAGAGGATTATAGTAGGCAGAAAGTGCTGACTAAACAATCCTTAGAGGTTCAAAGATGTCTAATTTTGAGTCTATAGAAAATACAAACAGAGACTCCCACACACGTACTCACCAACAACAAGCTGGACCACTGACTGGTCCACTGGGCTGTTTAACTTGGGGATGAAACATCGGTATCTTCCTTGGTCGGCCAGCGTCACGTTGGAGATTTTAAGTGAGATGTTTCCGTCTTTCAGCTCGTCCGTGAACAACGCCGTCCTCCTCACGTACGACCGGATCTTCATGTCCGGGACCTCGTGCCGGTGCCTGTAGAGGTGCACGTACTCCACCCGGCTCAGCGGATCCGCGGGGTCTGGCTTGAGGTCGGGCAACGACCACTCCACCGTCAGACCCTCCACGTTGAACTTAGGCTCCAGGTGGCACGGCAGGATGATGTCATCGCCCAGGACGGCTACGATCGGCTGACGCGACCCAATCACCTGAGGTTGATCTGGGAAAACACGGAGGAACGAGTTTCAACTACTTTAGCTCAACTTCAAAACTACTCACACCAGACTTCCAGGACTGAGAACATGAGATGCTTATTGTACTTCAGCAGTAAAAGGAAGCTGGAATCTGCAAACTAACTACTATTTATATCAAGGTTGAGTCTTTAAGAACCTTCTGGTGAGTGAGCAACAGTCCAAAACCCAAAGATACTCATTCATGAAGAGCTGCAGAGAAACAAACTACTAAGAAGCTTTCCTGCATGAATTTAAAATGGTTTAGATTATTCTCCGTCTGTTTCAGCTCTGTGTGTTTATGGTTAAAATGAGGGATTGTGATTTTGCAGAGTCATGATGATTCCTAGTGACCACGAGTCTTCACTTTGAGCAACATTGTGAGAAGAACATCTGATTAAGAGGAACAAGACATACATGACCCTGAAAAACATCAGCAGCGTGACCTTAGTGTGGTCAAAACTCAGTCATGGGAGTTTGGACAGTATTTTAATTTAAACTTTATTTAATTTAGTTTCATCACAAGTTAACCCCGTGTCTCTACGGTGGCCCTGAACAGATGCTGAGTTATGGAACAATAGGAGCTTTATATTCTTCCTGATAACAGTTTAACCGTCCTGCTTATCTGAGTTCCCAAAATTTGATTTTGAATTTGCCACCTTCCAAAAACATGTCTCTCTCTCCCCACACACACACACACACACACACACACACACACACACACACACATTAAAGTTCTTCCTTCTGGGAAGGTCTAGACAGCTCCACCTCTTGGTGCTTTTCTTCTCTGAGTCACTTATTGAATCAGCCATCATCAGTAAAAACGTTTAAGAAAATTAAACTTAAAAACAGCAACTTTTCTTTTTCCTCGTGTTGTTCCGTTATGATGTCATCTATTTTGTTTTTATTGTAATTACTTCTATTGTTTCTGTTTTGACCATGTAAAGTGTATTTGAGTAGCTTTTAAAGCGATATACAAATAACATGTATTATTATTATTAATATGGCACAATGTAACTTTTTGTTAAATTATTAGTGGCATATCCGTTAATCAGTGGGTAAAAAGTAGTTTGTTTTATTGTAACATGCTTCATGCTGTCATTTTATATACATACATACATACATACATACATATATATATATATACACACACACACACACACACACACACACAATCCCATTTATAGTCGTGTTAAGTTATCGGTTAGTTGCAGTTTAACGGGACTCAGAGGCTCATAAACAACATATAAACATGATATTAAATCTCCTAAAGAACAAACAGAATAAACCCGGAGCTCACCTTTTAAAGCCATGTTACCGGGAGCAAAGAGCGTGAAGAGAGAACACGTCCAGACGAGCACGGAGCCGAACAGGTGACGCATAAAAACAGCCGGTAGAAGGACGGAGAAGGGTCTGTAGTGAGCTCCACCGGAGCTGCTTGTCTGAGTACTGAAGCCATGATGCGTGTTAGAGCTGCTTATATTCCACTACTGACGCAGTGATACGTGTGCACGTGTGTCCTGACGTCATGGCGCAAATTACGCACCATTTGCTTTGTTGAACCAACACACCTCCAAGCAACTAGATAAATAAATAATCTATGAACGAACTCATGAGTAATCATGAGTTCATGTGACTGTTAAAAATAAACAGAACTATTATAGAAATACAAGTCAATACATAAATGTGAGTATATATGAATATATTTATAACGTCTGTGAATTGTAAACAAATCAATGAATAATGAATGGGTAATAAAATGTTATATATTCAAATATTTACTAGAGACTTCTTCTTATTGTCTGTTTACACGATGCTTTATAAATACAGCTCGACTGTCATATTTTATTATGTTGCTTAAATACATTTTATTTAGTTTATGTTGTTTTACATTAATTAAGAGCAAACCACCAAATCAGTTAAAAATAATTAAATAAAATACATAAAAATAAAATCCTGAGTAAATTATCCTTAAAAACCAAAATAAAAAATACATTAAATTAAATAATAATTAAAATAATTAAAATAATGCAACTACTTTATCCCAAATCTGTCTTTCCACCTCTCTGTCACGTGATCACATTAATGTAACACCAGTAATATTATCATTGCGTGGTGTATGACTCAGCATCTATTTAGTGACTCAGCAAGAATAGTAAAAACCTAAAAACAGGGAATAATAAATAAACAGAAATGTGAATATGTATCTATAGTGATGATGGTGAAGAGCCTTAAAGCTGATGTAGACTGAGCTTCTGACTCACTGCAACAAACACAAGTCATCACCACCCCGACGTCTAAATAAAACTGAATGTGAAACACACTCGTGTTACAGTGTTAATATGTCCCAGCAGAGAAAGTGAAATAAAGTGAAATAATCTAATTTATCAGACCGAAACAGCCAAATTGAAAGTAATTAACAGAGAAAAGCAGCAAATCCTCAGAGAAGCAGAGAATGTTTTACTGATTAAGTACGTTTATATTTATAAAAATAATAACTTTTTATTTATATAGCACCTTTAAAAACAGAGTTTACAAAGAGCTTTGAGAGACAAAGCAGCAAAATAATCACAATAACAGAAAGTTCAGTGAGACAGAACATCAACAAATACAAATAAACAGTAAAGCCGTTCTAAAGGGTTCATATCCCTTCAGGTCTGGATGCTCTATTTTGTTAGCTTTGACCTATTTCACTCTTGGACACATTGCGCAATTTTAACCAATTTTAACGACTTCGTCCGTCCTCGTATTTCAGCCAATCGGTGAACTTTCATCAGTCTGACTGTTAAAGAAGAGATAACAGCAGGAAGCGTGTGGCCTCTGTGACGTACACTTCAACTTCAGGTGTGATAGAAAGCAAAGAGTCAGTCAGTCATCAGGCAGTCA